TCCCATCGAGGCAGTGTTGCTCCCATATAAGTATGTTGTGACAATTATGACGGTGACAATGGCGATGATAAGAAACATTCAAATACCAATTATCCAATTGAGGCAGTGTTGCTCCCTATATAAGTATGCGCAGATACTCAAAGGCAGTATGTTGAGCATCAGCACCTTCCACCCCAGGATAAGCCCAGGGCTCCACTACCGTGCACTGCAAAAGGAGCAACATTGCGTCGACAGAGAAAAGTTGTATCATATTTTTTTATTTTATTATTTTTTTAATAATATAAATTCAACAGAGAAACATCAAAGTTCTCTATACGCCTCGGTGAAAATCGAAATTAATTCCCAGAAAAATTTCGAGCAGAATCCGTATACCAATTATCCCATCGAGGCAGTGTTGCTCCCATATAAGTATGTTGCGACAATTATGACGGTGACAATGGCGACGGCAACGATGACGTTGATACTAATGACTATGCTAATAAAACTTTTAGATTTATATAAAATATAATGTAATTAAATGATTATTGTGCTTAGAAAAAAATCCAGTATACTACTAAACAAATATGTAATCTTGATGTATTAAATCCCTACTTGGACTATAAATTTTATTTGTCAAAAACATATGACATGGCAAATATGGTCAGGAAGACATCACATCATGACCGCATATAGGCATATCATGACTATATTTTGGTATACAACATTTTTTTGTCAAATTAAATTTGATTTTTGGAAAGGGCATAACGATAGGTATCAAATGTCAAATCGATTACGTACAATAAGTGGTTTTCTCTTGATAAGTTGGCCTTTAATAGATTTCTTAACTTCGTTTCCAACATTTCCAATCTGTAAGGAAGAGAATTATTAGATAAAGCAATTTAGTTTCTGTTTCGATTAGATACAATGTGTTGTTTTCTTTGCTGTTTAATTGTTATATCTAGACTATTACGGCTATTATTTTAATTCCTATAGCTGCATTCACACCAAATCTGAACAGAAATTCTGAACGCGTTTCCGATGCGCTGAACGCCAGCGTTCTTATACTTAAACACTGTTTCGATATTCTGATCGGTTCGGTAGGATTTCCGATCCGAAAATTCGGATTCGGCGTAAGTGCAACCAAAGATAATAAATAGCAAAAGATAGAGCCGTTCGTGATATAGTGGAACGCCCCATTAGGGCGTCCATGAGAGCAATTTTCCTCCATCTATAATATCTATAAAATAATATTTCTCCATTTTAGAAAGGGCGGGCGTTCCATCAAATGTAATGCAAACTACGCGAAGAACTCATTTTCTGCTATTTATGTTCTTTAATGCAACTTTATGAAGCAAGTAATATGTAACCTTACACTGGATATGTTCACGTCTCCTTCCGATCTGAATGTGTAGGGTTTAGTTTGAAGAACGACAAGTTTTCTATCTTGTGAGGGCGTATTAATCTTAGCATGGTAGATTCTGTTTGAAATGTCGACCTTCAGTTGTCCGTTAATTGGTGCATTGATGTTCACATTTGCGTCGATTGCAACTCCTGTTTTTAATATAACGGCATCAACTCCTATTTTGCCGGTCATCTTAACAGCCAGTCTACAATCATAAATAAAACAATTTTTAGCGTTAGAGTAAGTCAACTAACTAATAGGGTTAACGTATAATGAATAATAGAAAAAAAATGTAAAATCTTTGTCGTAATATAAAGTATACAATGATCTAGACGAATTTATATTTACCTTGGCGTTAGGGCTCCCTCTACTAACAATCCATTTGGCGGCAATTTTTTACGCAGCATTTCATACAGGGGCGGATGAGCATAGATACGTCCAAAATAATTGACAGTCATAACTCCTGCGGAGGTGACCTTCAGAGATAATGGCAGACCAAGCTCAGAGGCTATCTGGTGAGTACCATCAAGGAGCGTGAAAGCTTTCTGGAGATCGAGGTGTTCAGTGATCTTTTTTAGTTGAAGTTCAAGTGTTTCTAGCTGGGTAAAATCTATTAA